ACTTCCAGATAACACTACTTATACGTTCTTCAGGCAGCACGTGTACACGAAGTGCTGCCTGAAGAAAGTCTATGTAGCTACACATCCTTTCCTGTAACACACACACACACATCAAAGGCAATGGGACCTGACAATGTGTATAAACCACTAGATATGATTTACGTACAATAAGTTAATGGGTACGGGACAGTTAACAGAGATCTGCAAGACAGCAGCTGTATTCTCTATATTTAAGAAAGAAAAGAGACAGGAAGCTTTAGCCTACAGACCAGTATCCCTGACATGTATACCTTGCAAGGTAATGGAGAAACTTATCAGGGGGAGAGTGATAGAACACTTGGAAGTGGTTTCATAACCCATAATCAAAGTAACAAATGTGCGATAAGAGAGAGGGTTGGGTGGGTTGTAATTTTTTTAGATTGCAAGATGTTTGGCACTGTACCCCACAAGAGGCTAGGCCAAAAACTTGAGATTGAGGCGGGAATAACAGGGAACGTACTCCGGTGGATCAAAGAGTATCTTAGGGAAAGGCAGCAAAGGGTGACTGTCAGGAAAAAGACGTCAGAATGGGGTAGAGTAACTAGCGGGCTTCCGCAAGGATTGGTATTATGACCAGTACTGTTCCGATTTATATGAATGACATTCGAGATTTCTAAGAATATTCTTCAGGAATCTCAACAGAGTCATTCTGGGCCTTTTTTTTTCAACAGACGTCAGGCCCATCTTGGAGTATACAGCACCAGTATGGAACCTACACCTGAAAAAGCATGTTAAAAATTAAAGAAGGTGAAAGGTATGCAACAAGGCTGGTTCCTGAGCTAAGAGTCATGAACTAACGGAACTGACTCGAACGACCCTCGTAGACAGAAGAACCAGGTTGGACGTGATAATAAAAAAAAATTAAGGGAAATCAGTATGGTAGACAGGGATAGGCTGATTGAGTGGAGAGAAACAGGAACAGGACAACACTGGATGAGCCACAGGGATGTTAGGAAGTATTTCTTCAGTCTCAGAGTGGTTGGGAAGTGGAATGATCTTGGTGAGGAAGTGGTGGAGGCAGGCTCCTTACATAGTTTTAAGAGCAGGTACGATAGGGCTTCACGAGAGTAAGAGTGAGTGAATCTGACAGGCAGCAAGTAAAGACATGCTGCCAGGAGCTGAGAATCGACCCCAGTAATGACATATAGGAGAGTACACACATGGACAAACTCATTTGTATTACACAACAATTTTATTACGATTTAAAACGCAACATAATTTGAATTTTTTACGAAGTTTGAATAATTATAAGGAAAATTCTCTCATAATTATCAATGAGATGAAATTATTCAGCATTAAAGATAAAGCTTTGTACTGTACCCCCCGGCTAGACCCTAGACCCTAGGACCCAACCCCCCTGATGACCCTCCCTAGACCCTCACCCTAGACTCCTGACCCTAGACCCCCTGACCTTAGACCCTCCCTAGATACCCCTAGACCCCCTAGACCCTCCCTAGACCCCTAGCCCTCCCTAGACCCCCTAGACCCTCCCTAGACCCCTAGACCCTCCTAGACACCAGACCTCTCCTAGACCCTCCTTAGACCCTCCCTAGACCTCCTAGACCCTCCATAGACCACCCTAAGACCCCCCTGCCCCCTAGAACCCTAGACCCTCCCTAGACCCTCCTAGACCCCCTAGACCTCCTAGACCCTCCCTAGACCCTCCCTAGACCCCCTAGACCCCTAGACCCTCCCTAGACCCTCCCTAGACCCCTAGACCCTCCCTAGACCCCTAGACCCCCTAGACCCCCTAGACCCCCTAGACCCTCCCTAGCCCTCCCTAGACCCTCCTAGACCCCTAGACCCTAGACCCTCCTAGACCCTCCCTAGACCCTCCTAGACCCCCCTAGACCCCCTAGACCCTCCCTAGACCCTCCCTAGACCCCCTAGACCCCTAGACCATCCTAGACCCCCTAGACCCCCTAGACCCCCTAGACCCCCCCCTAGACCCTCCCTAGACCTCCTAGACCCCCCTAGACCCCCTAGACCCTCCCTAGACCCTACCCCTAGACCCCCTAGACCCTCCCTAGACCCCCTAGACCCCCTAGACCCCCTAGACCCCTAGACCCCCTAGACCCTCCCTAGACCCCCTAGACCCCCTAGACCCTCCCTAGACCCCCCTAGACCCCCTAGAGACCCTCCCTAGACCCTCCCTAGACCCCCTAGACCCCCTAGACCCTCCCTAGACCCTCCCTAGGACCCTCCTAGACCCTCCCTAGCCCCCCTAGGACCCTCCCTAGACCCCCTAGACCCCCTAGACCCTCCCTAGACCCTCTAGACCTCCCTAGACCCCCTAGACCCCCCTAGACCCCCCTAGATCCCTCCCTAGACCCTCCCTAGACCCCCTAGACCCCTAGACCTCCCTAGACCCTCCCTGACCCCTAGACCCCCTAGACCCCTAGACCCCTAGACCCTCCTAGACCCCTAGACCCTCCCTAGCCCCCTAGACCCCCTAGACCTCCCTTAGACCCTCCTAGACCCCCTAGACCCCCCTAGACCCCTGAGACCCTCCCTAGACCCTCCCTAGACCTCCCTAGACCCCCCTAGACCCCCTAGACCCTCTAGACCCTCCCTAGACCCCCCCTAGACCCCCTAGACCCCCTAGACCCTCCCTAGACCCCCCTAGACCCTCCTTCTTAGACCCTTCCTAGACCCCCTAGACCCCTAGAACCCTCCCTAGACCCTCCTAGACCCCCTAGACCCCCTAGACCCCCTAGACCCCCTAGACCCCCCTAGACCCTCCCTAGACCCTCCTTAGACCCTCCCTAGACCTCCCTAGACCCCCTAGACCCCCTAGACCCACCCTAGACCCCCCCTAGACCCCCCTAGACCCTCCCTAGACCCTCCCTAGACCCCCTAGACCCTCCCTAGACCTCCCTAGACCCTCCTAAGACCCCTAGACCCTCCCTAGACCCTCCCTAGACCCCCCTAGACCCCCCTAGACCCTCCCTAGACCCTCCTAGACCCCCCTAGACCCCCTAGACCCCCTAGACCCTCCCTAGACCCTCCCTAGACCCTCCCTAGACCCCCTAGACCCCCTAGACCCCCCTAGACCCCTAGACCCTCCCTAGACCCTCCCTCAGACCCTCCCTAGACCCCCTTGACCCCCCTAGACCCCCTAGACCATCCCTAGACCATCCCTAGACCATCCTAGTCCCTAGACCCTAAACCCCACAAGACCCTCCCTAGACCCACAAGACCCTCCCTAGACCCCACAAGACCCTCCCTAGACCCTACAAGACCCTCCCTAGACCCCACAAGACCCTAGACCCCCCTAGACCCTCCCTAGACCCAACTAGACCCTCCCTAGACTCCACTAGACCCTCCCTACACCCTCTCCCTACACCCTCCCTAGACCCTACCTCGACCCCCCCTCTCTCGACCCCCCTCCCTCTAGGGGAGGGGGTCTAGGAAGGGCTATGGGTCCCATGCTGTGGTGGGTCCCAGCCTGTGGTGGGTCCCAGGCTGTGGTGGGTCCCAGGCTGTGGGTCCCATGTTGTTAGTCCCAGGCTCTGGCGGGTCCCAGGATGTGGTGGGTCCCAGGCTCTGTGGTAGGTCCCAGGCTGTGGTGGGTCCCAGGCTCTGTGGTGGGTCCCAGGCTGTGGTGGGTCCCAGGCTAGGTGGTGGGTCCCATGCTGTGGTGGGCCCCATGCTGTGGTGGGTCCCATGCTGTGGTGGGTCCCCCCAGGATGTGGTGGGTCCCAGACCATCTGGACTTCGGTGGCCACCCTACCTGCTCTTCCTCTCTCTCAATCTCTCTCACCGTTGTTCTTTCTTTTCTACTGCTGCTTCCCCCTGTGTCTTCCCTCTTTTCCCCTTCTGTTCCAACCCTCGCCCTCGCCCTTCCTCAGCGCCTCTCCCTTCCTTACCATTTGCTCTCTCTCTCACTCTCTTCCCTTCCTTATCATCTCTCTCCCTCACCCTCTCCCTTCCTGAGCTTTATCTTCCGCTTCCCTCTCCCTTCCTCAGCAACCACGCCCTCTCCCTTCCTAATCTCTTGCACCCTCTCCCTTTCTCAATTTGTGCACCCTCTCCCTCCCACTCTTTTTGATAATCTTTGTACCCTCTTCCATCCCAGCCCTGTGCACTCCTTCCCATCCTGGTCTTGTTTATTCTCTCCCATTCTGACATTCTGACTTGCGCATTTCCCATCCTAGCCTTGTGCACCCTCATCATCGTCTTTTGCACCTTGTACTATTCTGGTCGCGTGCACCCTCCCTTCCCCAGGCACCGTAGTGGATAGTTTCCTGACGAGTGTTACTGGAAGTCACCTGCGGCGGCCGAAGGCTTTAGACTCGGATTTCCTTCCGACTCACCATAATAGTACATCATTAGCATAATAACGTTTGTACTGTCCGCGCTACTATCCCGTAGTTCAATTGCTAGAACACCCAGCTCACACACTGAGGCCCGTGGTTCGATCCCCGGTACGGATGCATTAGGACGTTTTCTCTTAGGACACCTGCTGTCCCTGTTCACCTATCAGCAAAATAGGTACCTGGGTGTTAGTTCAACTCCATGGAACTGAACTCTTCTCCTGGTTGAGGGACTGACCCCCTCAAATACTATTTCTCCAAGGTTGATGGACTGTTTACATCATCTCCATTTCACTACTATACCTGCTGACTCTATTGAATTTTAGAAACCTACTGTGTAGGTGAAACGCTTCAACACTAGAAATACCCAACTGTTGCACATGTGTATTATTATTATTATTATTATTATTATTATTATTATTATTATTATTATTATTATTATTATTATTATTATTATTATTATTATACCATGATTCTCAAGTCTCATTGTGTTTTCTACTGTTATTCTCCATATACTGTTAAAGAACCTTTTTAGCGAGTAGATAAATCTTACAAGACATTTTAGTGAACAAAAGAGTATGGAGGCAAGTGGAGTTGATGTTGGTGTTGACATGCTAACATGTTTATGTGTTGTCTCCGTGACAGGATATTGACTACCAGGAGCTGGGTGTGGACACTGGAGTCACAGAAGAGCTGCCCACTTGGTACCTAGACACACTGCCCCAGCTGATGGCCCGGGCTCTCTCCATCCCCACCGTATCTACTGACGTTGGGCAGTACGACACAGAACAGTTACTGCGCTTCCACCAGTTTCTCAGAGAAAGTGAGCAAAAAACTTAGCCTTTGCTATAACACTAAATGAATGAATTACTCTTTGCATTGCGTTAGTCATAACACATACGTCTACCAGTATTACTCACCTGTATGTGGTTGCAGAGGTAGACTCATAGCTCCTGGCCCCGCCTCTTCGCTGGTCGCTACTAGGTTCACTCTCTCCTGGCTCCAAGAGCCTTATCGTATCTTTTCTTAAAGCTATGTATGAATCTCGCCTAACATCCCAGTGACTCATCTGAGTTTTCAACTTCCACTGGTGTCCTTTTGTTCCTGTATCCCATCTCTGAAAAATTCTGCCCCTGTTCACCTTGTTAATTCCTCTCACGATTTTGTACGTCGTTATCATATCACCCCTAGCCTTCCTGTGTCATTAGCTTGAGTTCCCTCAGCTTCTACGTATAGGACATACCCCTTAACTCAGGGACTAGTCTTGTTGTAAACCTCTGCACTTTCTCCAATTTACTGATGTGCGTTACAAGGTGTGGATTCCATACTGGTGCTGCATACTCCAGTATGGGCCTGACGTACATGGTGTACAGTGCCGTGAATGACTCTTTAGATGTCGAAACGCTGTTCTCAGGTTTGCCAGGCGCCCACATGCTACAGCAGTTTATGGTGGATGTGCTCGGTATGTGTGTGTGTGTGTGTGTGTGTGGGGCGGGGGGGGGTATTAACCCCCCCATATGTACTTAACTATATGTCGTTGGATGAGTTTTAGCTCTTGGCCCTACCTCTTTGCTGGCCGCTACTGGGTTCATGCTTTTCTGGCTTCAAGTCTTATAGTATGTGTTAAAGCTATGCATGGAGCCTGCCTCTACCACTCCACTTTCTAGCTTGTTCCACTTCCTCAATAAGATTTCCGAAAGCTAATCTTAAATTTGCCAGATGCGCATTTGCTGCAAGAGATTCGGTTGGTGTGCAACAAGTGAAATACTTGATACAATACTCACCCCAAGGTCCTTCTCCTTGAGTGAGGTTTCCAGTCTTTCCCCTCCCGAGTCTGTACTCCGTTTCCTGTTTCCTTTGCCCTTAACCATATTATTATAATCAGGGGAAGCGCTAAACCCGTAGGATTATACAGCGCCTGCCCTTATCCATAACTTTGCACTTACTGGGGTTAAATTCCAGTATCCACCTCATATCAGACCTGCAGCCTGTAAAGGTGCATTTGTAGTCTTTCCTGGTCCTCACCTGTAAGTATACTCATTAGCTTCACATCATCTGCGAACAGAGATACCTCTGACTCTATCCCTTTCATTATGTCGTTCTTAGTACCGGCATTAGTGCTGATTCTTGCGGAACTCCCACTTGTCACATGCACCCATTCCGACACCCTGGTGTTGGAATGGGTGCATGTGGGTTGGGGTGAGGATGGGGGCGGGGTTTCTTGCACTGGAAGAGAAGATCGTGGATGTAGATGAGGGTGAATGGGGACGATGGGTATTGGGCGAGAGTCGGGTATGAGTACTGGGGTGTGGGGCAGTAATAAAGAAATTTCTTGTACTGGGAGAGGTGAGGGCTTAGAGTGTAGGAAGGGGGTTGGAATATGGCTTGTTTTGGTGCGTTGTCTTGAGTGGATGGGGGAGGAGTGTGTGTGTGTTAGTTACCATTTTGTCCTAGTTATGTGTGTGTGTGTGTGTGTGTGTGTGTGTGTGTGTGTGTGTGTGTGTGTGTGTGTGTGTATGTGTGTGTGTGTGTGTGTGTGTGTGCTTGGTGTTTGTCCATGTATTCTCTCTCTCTCTCTCTCTCTCTCTCTCTCTCTCTCTCTCTCTCTCTCTCTCTCTCTCTCTCTCTCTCTCTCTCTCTCTCTCTCTCTCATACCTTCCGTTTATTGTTCTGTCCCGGATGAGGTACACCTGTTGATATTTTCCTGTCTTATTGGTGTCTCGTGCCATTTCAGTTGCGAGAGGTCAGTTTGACTGTGTGTGTGTGTGTGTGTGCACTCACCTAGTTGTACTCACCTAGTTGAGGTTGCAGGGGTCGAGTCCAAGCTCCTGGCCCCGCCTCTTCACTGGTCGCTACTAGGTCACTCTCCCTGAACCATGAGCTTTATCGTACCTCTGCTTAAAGCTATGTATGGATCCTGACTCCACTACATCGCTTCCCAAACTATTCCACTTCCTGACTACTCTGTGGCTGAAGAAATACTTCCTAACATCCCTTTGATTCATCTGTGTCTTCAACTTCCAACTGTGTCCCCTTGTTACTGTGTCCAGTCTCTGGAACATCCTGTCTTTGTGTGTGTGTGTGTGTGTGTGTGTGTACTCGCCTATTTCTGGTTGCAGGGGTCGATTCATTGCTCCTGGTCCCGACTCTTCACTGTTTGCTACTGGGTCTCCTCTCTCTCCCTGCTTCATGAGCTTTATCAAACCTAGTCTTAAAACTATGTATGGTTCCCGCCTCCACTACGTCACTTTCTAGGCTATTCCACTTCCTGACAACTCTGTGACTGAAGAAATACTTCCTAACGTCCCTTTGACTCATAGGAGTCTTCAACTTCCAATTGTGGCCCCTTGTTTCTGTGTCCCATCTCTGGACATCCTGTCTCTTCACCTTGTTACTTCCTCGCAGTATTCATATGTCGTTATCATGTCTCCCCTGACCCTCCTGTCCTCCAGTGTCGTCAGGCCGATTTCCCTTAAACCTTTCTTCGTAGGACAATCCCCTTTACTCTGGGACTAGTCTCGTTGCAAACCTTTGCACTTTCTCTAATTTCTTAACATGCTTGACCAGGTGTGGATTCCAAACTGGTACTGCATACTCCAATATGGGCCTGACGTATATGGTGTACAGAGTCTTGAACGATTTTTTACTGAGGTATCGGAACGCTATTCTTAGGTTTGCCAGACGCCCGTATGCTACAGCAGTTATCTGACTGATGTGCGCCTCAGGAGATGTGCACGGTATTATACTCACCCCGAGATCTTTTTCCTTGAGTGAGGTTTGCAGTCTTTGGCCACCTAGACTATACTCTGTCCGCGGTCTTCTTTGCCCTTCCCCGATCTTCATGACTTTGCATTTGGTGGGGTTAAATTCAAGGAGCCAGCTGCTGGACCAGGCTTGTAGCCTGTCCAGGTCTTTTTGTAGTCCTTCCTGATTCTCGACCGATTTAACTGTCCTCATTAACTTCACATTTACAAACAAGGACACTTCTGACTCTTTCCCTTCCGTTAAATCATTTACATTTACCAAAAACAGCACAGGTCTTAGGACTGACCCCTGTGGAACCCCGCTCGTCACAGGCGCCCACTCTGACACCTCTTCACGTACCATGACTCGTGTGTGTGTGTGTGTGTGTGTGTGTGTGTGTGTGTGTGTGTGTGTGTGTGTGTGTCTGTATGTGTGTGTGTGTGTGTCTGTATGTGTGTGTGTGTGTGTGTGTGTGTCTGTATGTGTGTGTGTGTGTGTGTGTACTCACCTATTTGTACTCACCTATTTGTGGTTGCAGGGGTCGAGTCCTAGCTCCTGGCTCCGCCTCTTCACCGGTTGCTACTAGGCCCTCTCTCTCCCCGCTCCATGAGCTTTATCAAACCTCGTCTTAAAACTGTGTATGGTTCCTGCCTCCACTACGTCATTTTCTAGGCTATTCCACTGCCTTACAACTCTATGACTGAAGAAATACTTCCTACTATCTCTCTGACTCATTTGTGTCTTCAACTTCCACTTGTGGCCTCTTGTTTCTGTGTCCCCTCCCTGGAACATCCTGTCTTTGTCCACCTTGTCTATTCCACGCAGTATTTTATATGTCGTTATCATGTCTCCCCTGACCCTCCTGTCCTCCAGTGTCGTCAGGCCGATTTCCCTTAATCTTTCTTCATTCCCCTTAGCTCTGGAACTAACCTTGTCGCAAACCTTTGTACTTTCTCTAGTTTCTTGACGTGCTTTATCAAGTGCGGGTTCCAAACAGGTGCTGCATACTCCAGTATGGGCCTGACATACACGGTGTACAGTGTCTTGAATGATTCCTTACTGTGTGTGTGTGTGTGTGTGTGTGTGTGTGTGTGTGTGTGTGTGTGTGTGTGCAAGACAGTGACCACAGTTTTGCAATTTTAAAAACATGTTATTGTAAGATTCTGAGAATGTTAGGTGTTGTGCTTCAGCACATAAAATCACTCACTACGAAAGCAAAAGACTTGGCAGACGATGCAACATCCCCCCAATGAAAAGCAGGGGTGTCACTAGCACGTTAAGAGACCATACAATAAGTGTCAGGGGCCCGAGACTGTTCAACTGCCTCCCAGCACACATAAGGGGGATTACCAACAGACCCCTGGCAGTCTTCAAGCTGGCACTGGACAAGCACCTAAAGTCGGTTCCTGACCAGCCGGGCTGTGGCTCGTACGTTGGTTTGCGTGCAGCCAGCAGCAACAGCCTGGTTGATCAGGCTCTGATCCACCAGGAGGCCTGGTCACAGACCGGGCCGCGGGGGCGTTGACCCCCGGAACTCTCTCCAGGTAAACTCCAGGTAAACATGTCACAGTATACACGGTACACCACATGTCACAGTGTACACGGTACACCACATGTCACAGTGTACACGGTACACCACATGTCACAGTGTACACTGTACACATCACACAGTGAACATTACCGCACAGTATATACCATGGCAATATAAACACAAATGCAGTATAATGTGATCCTTTATTGACTACGTTTCGCCCACACAGTGGGCTTTTTCAAGTCACAAACAGAACTACCTGGGGTGGAAGGAACGCGAGTATTTATAGTCCGGCTGAGGTCAGGTGAAGAATGCTGCATCTGATGATGTACCGAGTTGGGTTGTAGAGTCTAAAAACTTGGGTAGCTTGGAAAGGAGACTGGACAAGTTTGTGAGCAGACCTTCTACAGTGTTCTTATGTGGGATAGCGATGAAGAAGTTTCTTGGCAAGTGGTTCAGCTATGTTATAGAAGCCACTATTCTGGTTGAAGTTGTCGGATATAGAAATAAGTGATGATTCCAGGATTCTTCGGTATTGAGTGTTGTCT